ATTTTCCATTTGAAGTCAATCTCATATTTAAAATCAGTAATGAAATAATGTTTTTTAAAATATAGGGGTGTGACAATCTAAATGCATATGAATTGCAAAATTTTTTCCTAAGAATAGCTTAGAGTTAGCTAGTATGTCAATAAATGAAGACTCCCGGGAATCACTTTTTGAAAATAATTGCTAGATACTTTATCTTTGGGTTTGCATTTCAGATTTCAAATTCCATTTTCTATACATTTTTAAGGAAGCAGGTACAACACAGTCCCCCTCACAAGCAAAAACAAGTTTTAAAGGGTTCGGAAATAGGCTGGTACTTACAAAATCTTCACTAAATCTTTACAAGAAAATGATTACAACACCAAAAATGGTTACTCAACAAATAGCTCTGAGACTCAAGTCAGATAAGGGCCAAATTCCAGAAAACCTCATACAGGTATATGCTGGTTTACTCCCGATAACCCGGATAACCTATCTCTAGGACTTCCTTGGACTAGTCCCTTCCTGTTAAAACTCTTCAAACTAGGGAGGGGCCAAGGTTATCTTAGTGTCAGGCAAGCATCTGGTCTAGAGCAACCCAAAGTCAGTTCACAACCTGGGGACTGAGAAGATGGTGAGATGTGATTACAGTATTGTTTAGCTGAATAGTTACAAATGAATGAAATGCATGGACTTGAATTAATGGAAAATGTATAATTGTTCTTTGTCGTTAAAAGGGCTGCTTTGGATAGAGGTAGGAGACACATTTAGGGTTTCTGAGAGGGACACTTTCATACACATCATATTCATTGTTTTGTTGCTCGACTTCATCTTTTTTTTTTGGTTGGATGTCCAAATCTACTCTTTTAACTATGATAACGATATCTGCCAGCACAAAAGTCAACAAACTCACAGGAGACAAAAGACATGCTCAGTTCGATTGCTTCCAATAAACTTCGGTGCTTCCAGACCACATAATGCCATAGGATTATTTGTAATGCTTCTTTAAAAGGGTGACAGGGTTCAGAAATAAACTGCACATGGTAAGAAGAGCATCCCATGGGTTATCCCTGCAAAATGAGCTGCAAGGCTTTGGGAGTGGTAGTGGTTTCCGGCCATTAGCGTTACTAATCAAGGCCAGCTTTTCATTTATGAGAATCTACACCAATCAGGATGTACATAGTGTGCTCACTCTAGCAATTGTGCCTGATTTCTTCAAGGTTGTGCTGAAATAAAACTTTACTGCAATTATCTTTGATTGGACTGTTTCATGATTTTTATATATCCTTGAGATACAGACAGTCCACAAAGTAGATACAATTGGCCCATCGGTCACAAAACATATTTCATGCTAAATGCCCACAAAAAGCAATTACTGTCAACTCTCAATTAACCTCACTATTGGAGGAAGCATTAATGTAGAAAGTACAAATCCTAGGTAACCCCTATCCAGGCCTTTCTTGCTGCCATAGTAGCAGTTGAGGTGAGAGAGAGAGAGAAATAGACGGAGAATGGAAACGTCAGGAAAGGCTCGGGTTAAGTCTCTTCAGGGAAAGCTGGAGCAGAGGTGATAAACTCAGCTGCTGCTCTCTGCCCTATCTTTATGCCTTTTGTCCTGTACCATGAAGTAAAAATAACATTGATTTCCCAGTAACCTTCTGACTGACAAACAAAAAGCATGAAGCAAAGGAAGCAGAGTAGGAAACAGTGGGGGAAGCACTCTTGGAGTCTGGCCTTCCTCTGGGAGGACGACCGAATTGGGGAGGCCTCTGGGGACACCACAAGGGTTTGAAGTAGAGGCTCTGCATCTTCCTCATGAGGATGCTTGAGTGAGCTCAGTGTAATCCTGCAATGGGGAGAGTTCTCAGGTGTTTTGCCTTTTAGGGTTTTGACTATGTCATCCAAAATGATAAAAGGGTTTAATTATAAATGTTATACTGAATTAATTGCACACACGATAAGCATTCTCATACTACAGATTCCTACAGGCATGACTGCATGTCCATCAGATCCTGGGCATAAGTGCTATTGCCACCCTTCTGATACAGTGAACCCTTCAGGCTGGGCACCTCTCTTCCAGGCCAGAAGCTGCAGGAAGAGTAGATATGACTCCTCCTCAAGTGATTCCTAGTGACACTGCTCCAGGAAGGGTGCGTATTTTCAGAAGAAAAGTCTTAAGCCATAGGGATAAAAACACAGTGGAATTCCTGATCCCACTGGGCAGCTGAGGGGTATAAGGGAGGGACAGAAGGGGCAAGGGGAAAGCCTCTGTAGGCACAGCAGACAAATGGGAACAATGGAAAGGAAAGTTGGGAAACAATCTTAGGAAAAGTAACATTACATTTTTAATGGAAAAAAAAAACTATTCTGGGTCAAAATGCTTATAAATTGTTGAGTCAAACTCATATCTTCAGTAATTATGACTTGGCTATAAAATTAATAGAGTTTGAGAAGAACCCACTTATTAGTGTTTTTTTTTTTTTTTTGCCTCAAAATAAATGTCTAGGCATTAGAGGCAGAAATCTGTTGGAAACTAGGTAGATATAAAAAGTCAAATGACAGAGTAAGATAGGAACAAGAGAAAGAGTGAAACAGTAAGATTTCTGGAGAAACGCTCAGGATTCTTTTTAATATTAAATGCAGAGATAGAAAGAGAAGGAGAGAAGGAAACGTAGCAGAGGAACTTCAGAAAGTTCAGGGAAAAGAAAAGGTTTGTGACTATAAATGGGGAAGTGACTCACAACAACAGGGAAAATAATGAAAAATGGAAATACTGAATATAAAGTATCACCAAGCAAGGAAAAATGAGGGTTAAAGAATTCAGTGAGGCTGCACATTTGATTAATTACTTATTCTTTAAGTTCGCCTATTAATTTAAAGAGTTCTGATCATCTACTGTGTGCCAGGTAGCATGGTAGGCACTGGGGTACAGCACGGAGAAGGCAAGTCCTTGCCATCAGAGACCCATAGGCTAAGAGAGGTTTATACACCTGCAATGAAAAAGTGATATTACAACTTCTGATTATAAAGGAGGGGGCAGACTAAAGGTATTTTTACTCCTTTTCCCTCCTTCAAATACAGATAAAACAACAAAAAATAATAACACACGGAGGACAATATCAGACTCAATAAAACTAACAAGCAAAAAGAAGAGCCACTACTCTTCTTACAAACCATGAAGTTACAAGCACTAAGATTCAGAAAGGACACTGAAAGTTAATAAATACCTCAAATCTCGAACAGATACCAAAAGTTTTCACAAAAGTAATGTCAAATTTCTACAGGGCACATGCAATGAGCCTTTAATGACAGTGACAAAACTCACAATATAAACTAGAAAATTTCCCTGGAGAGACTCAGTCTGACACCACATAACAGAAAGAGAAGTGGAGTTAAAAGCAAGCATATTAATATTCTATTTCTATTTACTACCTCGCCCACTAGCCAAAGAAAACATCTAAAGGTAATAACATCCCTTTTCTGTTCCTTCTCTATAGAAATTCCAAGCTAATAAGGGATAAAAGAAAAAAAAAAAAAACCTGTAATTTTCTAGATAATTCTTTTATGCAGAAAGAATATGTCTTCACCCTTCACATCAGTGGTAATTTTCTCTCAGATGGCTATTCTGATGAAAAACATTTGAATTTTGTAAGGCAAGTCCAAAGAAGGAAATATTAAGTAATTAGAAAGTTTATAACTCTGTTAAGAATAGAATTTCAGAAATTTACTAGATGACTGCAATCTAAGTACTCATTTAGGTTTCCAGGAAACAAAGATGAGGGAATGAGAAGACAAGCATGACCAGATTATAACACTTCCCTAGCCCTTGTATTGTTCTAAAGACCTAAGAACTGTTTCATCAAAAAACAAAAAAACTCAGTACATAGAGAAAGCAATTCAGTGACAATGGGTGCCTGTTGATTCCCCCACATGGTATTAGAGTCATCATGTAGTGGTCTCTGCCTGCTATAGATCTGGCAAATATGAATAAGGGTCATTGGATGACTTTGAAGGACAAATTTCTGGTTTTCCCTACATTGGACCTTGGACTTTGGTACATGCGTTATCCCAGGTCACTTGGGCTCCTGTTCCTCCCAAAAATCCAGCTGGCAAATGAAAGACCTGAATCAGAATTAGGTAAGAGACTTTTACTGCCCTCATGATCTGAGATATACAAGAATTCTCTCATTCTTCATCTGGCTGTACCTGGGTGTGATGAATTGAATTGTGTCTCCCTAAAATATGTATTGAAATCCTAAGCCTTGTACCTGTAAATTTGGAAACAGAGGTTTCTCTTTTGTTATGTTAATGAGGTTATATCAATGTATATATTAGCTTAGGTGGATCCTACACATAATCACTTCTGAGTTATAAAATGACCAGAATAGACACAGAGACAAACACGGAGGGGAGACAGATGCCATGTGAGGATTGTCTACAAGCCAAGGAACACTAAGGAACAACAGAACAACTGAGGCTACCAATAAGGAAGGAATTGACATGACTGACACCCTGATTTGGACTTTAGCCTCCAGAACTATGAGAAAATAAATTTCTGTTCTTTAAAGCCACCCACTTGTGGTGTTTGTGTTATACCAGCACTAGATAACTAAGACACTGGGTTAAAATCTATAGAATCTAATGGGACCCTGGACCTTCAAGACATCATGATTTATGTGTGGACAATGGATGGTTAACAGATTTGCAAAGGAAGTTGAGCTATGGAGGGAATCTAACTGAAAACAATGAAAATCAATGAAGCCAGAACAGACTTAAGCATTAAGTGGCGTTTACTCAAGTGATATTAGCTAATGGCACAGTTAGGGAAGTGAGGAAGTATGAATTAATGCTGATTTCCTCTCTCAAGTTCAGAAATACTAGAAAGGTCATAGACCCAAGGACCACTTATTTCAAGTTTGGGTTCCATAAGACCTCTTATAATGAACCCCCTTTTCCCCTAGGAAGTCTGAAATAAGACATAAGTTTCTTTTGAGAGTAAATGCTCACAATCCGAACATACTCACAATCCCAACAGGGAAGGCCAGTACGGCCAGCATCCAGTCCCGGAGAGAGATGAGCTTCCTGAGCTGCCTTTCTTGCTCTTGGTTCCCACTCCCTCTCGTCAGAAGACTGGAAAGGTCGGTCAGTACACAGATTCCAAAAAAGACAGCCTGGATAACCTGTAGGGAAAAAGCAGCCATTATTCATCACTAAGCTCCAATGGGACCCTAGCTGGGGAACAGCAAACAAGCCACACGTCTGTAACATATAAAAGAGGATCAGAAGCACATTGAAAGGGATCACTCTCCAAATAAAACAAAAAAACAACTCAGTTTCCATCAAGTCAATTCCAACTCATGGCGACCCCATGTGTGTCAGGGTAGAACTCTGACTCAGAGTTTTCAATGGCTGATTTTTAGAAGTACATCGCCAGGCCTTTCTTCCAAGTCAACTCTGGGTGCACTTGAACCTCCAATCAATTGGTTAGCAGCTAAGCATGTTAATCATTTGTACCACACAGAGACTCCATAAATTAAAAAAGGGTAAGATATTTACAGTTTGATATTATACTTGAGAAAATTGATCTGAACAACACTATTTTCATTTTTTTTTTTTTTTTTCCTTTGGCTTTAAAGAACATAAGTTTATTTTCTCACAGTTTAGGATGTTAGAAGTCCGAATTCAGGGCACCAATATAGACGAAGGCTCTTTGTCAGCTCTGGGAGAAGCTCCTTGTCTCAGCATCTTTAGCCCTGGTGTTGCTCAATTCTTTGTCAATCCTCATTTCATTTATCTTCCCCAATCTGTGCTTGTTGTATCTCTGTGCCTAAGCCAATCCTTTTAACTCAGAAGGGATTAGGTTTAGAACACACCTTGCACTGATATGGACTTATTAACATAACAAAGAAAACTCTGTTTCCAAATAGGACTACATCCTATTGGTTTAGGATTCCTACACATGTATTTTTTTTTTTTTACACTTGTAAGATATTCTTCTTTTTTTTTTTTAATTGTACTTCAGGTGAAGGCTTACAGAACAAATAGTTTCTCAAGAAACAGTAGTACACATATTGTTTTATGACATTGGTTAACAACCCCACAACATGTCAACACTCTCCCTTCTTGAACTTTTTTTTTTTTTGGTGAAAATCTACATAGCAAAAGATACACCATTTCAAAAATTTCTACATGCACAGTTCAGTGACATCGACTTCGCTCTTCCAATTTTGCTGCTATTCTCACTTTAGATGAAGGCTTACAGAACAAAATAGTTTCTCATTTAACCGTTAGTACAGATGTTGCCTATGACAATGGTTAACAACCTCACCACACATCAACACTATCCTTACTCAACCTTGGGTTCCCTATCACCAGCTTTCCTGTCCCCTTCTGCTTTCTGGCCCTTGTTCCTGGACTGCTGTACCTCATTAGTCCCATTGGGTTTTATGGGGCTGTCCACTCCCCAGCTGAATGGTGAACCTCAGAAATAACTTCACCACTGAGCTAAAAGGGTGTCTGGGGGCCATACACTCGGGGTTTCTCCAGTCTCCTTTAGGCCAGTAAATCTGGTCTTTTTTTTTGTGAGTTAGAATTTCATTCTACA